AATAAAAAAGATGTAAAAGTTCGTTAAATGGAATTTGAATCCCTTTTTTTTACTTTACATATATGGCCGGCTAGATTTTCGGCGATTCATCAAGGTCATGGCGCTAACGTGTGTGTATGTGTTAACGGCTAACGATCTGCAGTAATTATAGGTCTGATGGGGAGACGGGTCGATATCGTTCTAGGATACCAGTATGACTAGAATAATATTTGTGACTAGTCGTAAAGTTACTTTTTATTTACCATAACTTTCCCCCGTAGAGCCATTCCCCTTCTTCTATTCACAGCTTTTTTTCTGTTACTTATTATTGTTCCTGGCATTCCGATCATTCCGAATTTAGATTTTTCAGCACCTTATAGTACCACGACGACTGCTTATGTAGATTTAAATTTGAAAGAGTAGCGATTATCGATTAGTGTATGGATTAGTAGCGATCTTCACGATCCGAGTAGTATCCTTAGCCTGGATGTTCCCTCCAAACTGACTGTGAAAATGATTTTCTTCACTTCGAAGTAGCTGTAGAGGGTGTCAAGCTTCAATGAACATGAAAGATCAATAAGTATCACGAAGAACTACGTTAACTATCAAAAGTATTACTTTTTGGTTACTCATCTAACTGGAGTGGAATAACTCAGCCTTCTGTAAGGGTATCGTTGTTATTTGATTTGGAAAAGCTGTAGCTAACAAAAAGATTTCCAAAGGGTTGAGGTGGCAATAAATTGTGTGTCCTTGGGTCCTGTTTCATGCAAAGTGATTGGTCGGTTGTCCTATTAAGAAAAGTGATTGGTTGGTTGTCCTAATAAGAAGGAGTCCTCATTTTGTACTAGATATAACGGCTGTCTTCACCGGTCACCCCTCCTTAGTACTCGTTCAATATATTAAAGTTAGGTGTTCGTTATGTTCGATAGCTTCGAAACGCCTTCTTTTGACTTTTTTCTCTTCTCTTTTCTCTCTTGACGTGTCCGTATACTTTCAAAACGGGATCATTAGGTCTGAAATTCAGAGCAGTTACTGTTACGGTAACGCGTGGGAGCTTCAGAAGCGGAATCTCCCTTTTTTTCTTCATCTTTCAAGCTTCATCCGTTTGGTCTGAAATCGTTTGTTTGCGTTCTGTTTTTTTCTGAAGATGAAATGTCATGAATTGACATGTCCGTCCACTCACACTCGATGCTGTTCGGGGTGCTTGTTTCATAGACGGGGAGAAAGGGAGCCTGTTTCATATGCCACCCACCCACTGCTGCACATTCATGGTTGAATAGTCGGTCGGTATTGTCATGTGGTGGATAGGCATGTGTGTGTTTTGTTTCGTTTCATGTTCGTTGACAAGTTATTCCGATAGTGGTAGTAGTACGACACCCAAAGGAATGAGACCTATTGTCCGGGATTGTGCGTTTTTACCCTCACTGCACTTTCTACCGTACCGCACCCTTGGGAACAACTTTATGGGTTTTCCCATGAGCATTTCTTCGAATTATACATTGGAACAAGTAAAACGTCCCTTTCCATCAGGTTATGCTGGAGAACATCAACTGGGCCGTTTGATTTGACTTGATGTTTTTTGCCTGCTCGAGGCCGAACATTTCCTTGTAACTCAGCAAACTTGTCATTAACTTGGCAGTAGTTTTTCAATCTCCGAAGTTCAGCAACATCAAAGAGCTACCGTTGCGGTAATTGACTGGTATACTCGATCTAAACTTCTTATATATGATCAGTGTAAATAACAATATTTCCGTTACCTTCCCAGTAATTTCACAACTGGTTTGTTCCCAAGCGTTTTATCGTAAATAAACAAGGAGAGACTTAACATGGCATGATTTCTGTTGATTGAAAGCCATAAATAAAGCTCGCTATTGGTTAATTAAATGAAATATTTTATCTATATCGTATAAAGAGATCGATGTTACTGTTTAGTTTTGATATTAGTAATAATCTGGTGCCATTGTTCCCTTTCGACGTTCCAGTAGAACGCGAATCTCTCGTGTTTTCCAGACTTGACGTTCAGATCGCCCCCAGTTCGAGTTCGATTAGCCCTATTGTCCTTTCTCCCCAAGGCCTCCTTCGATTTTTGATAGCCTTCTTTGATTTCCATCTTATTTTCTGTTTCTTAGGTTTCGTGTTCATACAATTAGAAGCAGACTGACTGCTGCTGGACTTGCTCCCATGCCCTAGAATTTTCACGAATCCACTGGTTTAGTGGGGCATTGATGGATTAGGCTATAAATTTCGCCTTTCGACGTGTGCTTTGAAAAATGGGCGTGGCTTGGTGTAGGGACGAGAAGAGGGAGAAGGTATCAAAAGGACGCGTGGAAGAAGCGATTTTTCAATGTCGATGGTTATCCTGGAAGCTTGATGAGAGTATTTCGGTATTTCATGACAGGCAACGGGAGAAAGACGGATAGGGTGGGAATTTGAAGTAGGGGGAGGGGGGAGGGAGGGTTTCCGATAGAATGGCGGAATGGAATGAAGGCGTTTATGCGAAGGAATCATCGACCACGATGGACGATTCAAATGTTCGGCCGTTTTAGTGTGTGCATCACCCCACAGTATGCGCGTGTACGAGTGAGCGATCGTCCCAAGCGTTCCGCAATAAAACGCATCGAAGCAAATATTGAAACGGATTGTTGCCGACGATGCCGCTGCTGAATACATTCGCACACGGACGACGACGACGGACACTCAAACATATGCATGCAAATTATTCGAAACGCAATTCGTCGTCGGTGTGATGTCGTCGTCATCGTCGTCATCGTCACCGCCCCGGTCGTCGTCGACGTCGTCGTCGTCGTCCTCGTCGTCGTTATCGCACCGATGTTGCACCGATTCTGATTGTATCGGCAAACATGGAAAGTGCAGCTGCTCCTGTAACCCCCAAACTTCCTGCCAAATTTTTACGATACCAGTATCGTTTCCGCCCAAGTTTACTGGTCCTTTAAGAATTTTCCTTGGGCAACTATCAAAGGTAAAGCTAGGTTCAGTTCTATTACAGTACCATCTGAGTCTGTGGCTAAGGCGACAAGGCTGAGGCTTCAGCCAAAAAATATGTCGTCTGGGGTAGAACCTCTGAGTTTTCCACTGGTACACCTGTTCGAGTTTCCCTGAAAATCGAACATGGTCTTTTCTCAGTGAAACTGGTTATCTATCTACCAGTTATTTTTGCTTTCTGCCTTTTCTCGTTTTGCATGAGCTGATTCAAATGTCACTGTGATGCCGTTGAAAAAGGAGATTGACCGGTTTGAGTGATGCTACGGTAGATTACGCTAGATCCTCGGCTTCAGCTCGAAAGCGTCGAGGTGTTTGAGTGGGTTTTTGGCTAATGCATACCATGTGACCTGTGGAGTTAAAGTAGTTGCTGTGTAGGAGGTTCTTCTTTTCACAGAAATTTGAAACCGGGTAGTCAATTTCAAAGGGTAGAACTTTGGGTTGACTGTGAGGAAATCGATATTGCTGATCGTGCTGGTGTCAGGCTGTGCTTCTTGACACTGCCTTTCTTCTGCCCTATATCTTCTTACTCTTTCAAGTGGCACCGAAATCTTTTTCTTATAGTTTTATTCTTCGAAATATTAATTTGACCCCTGTAAAAGAGGTGAAACATCAATCTGAAGGGCATCATGAAACCCCAGCATGCGCTACTTTTTTAAAAGTGTCATCCTCCTTGGCTTCATCTTTTCCTCTTACGGCACGAATGAGATTTTCTCGTTACTATTCTGAACCACAGTCAGCAGCGAGTAAAGGGAAATGGGCTGGGAATTATTGATTAATTGATCGAGTTTACTAGAATCTTGTTATCAATCATTGTGTTTTGCATTTGCTCTCCTCAGCAGCATCATGATTGAGCAGACAGATAGGCGGGTGATGGGGGGTAGGTGACAACAAATGTTGGCTGTATACTTAACGGTGTATTGGAGGTGTGAAAGGATTGAGGGGGGGGGGGCGAGCTATTGGGAGCCGCAGAGCTTTTGATATTTGCGGTTTCATAGGGTGGCTGGCCCGGCGGTCTGTAGTTGGGCAATCTGTCAGGTTTTTCATTCTATTGTTAAACCCTTCTGGTTACACCTCATGTGTCACCACGGCGATCGTCATATCCGCCTCCGCCTACACCTGGCTACGAGAAGCGCATATTGTTGTCAACCAGCATCGGCATCCATCATAATACATCATATGCAAAAAACTGTCCAACATCTGTTTAACTACTTTACTACTTGTAAGGTATTTACAATCACAAACGTCGTCATAATTCAACAATTTTTATATAAACTTTTTTCAAAAATTAACGCCAGTAATTATTTCCTTCGAAACATTTTATTACCATAGAGGGCTGATATTTCAATTTTATCATGTTTTTTTTAAAAAAAAAGTCGTGAAGTTTTATGTAATACCTTAAAGATTTTCTCTTTTTGGGATCACCAAAAATTACCATATTGCTATGAAATAATTCAAATTCAACCTCAAAATGTGCTAAATTTAATTTTCATCTTAAGCTTTTCTAGTATTATTCGAAAGTTTTTTTTCATCAGTTCCATATTTATTTTTTCTTCCATGCATATTTATTTTTCATATTTATTTTTTCTTCCATGCACTCTCAGAGAGTTGTTCGGAAACTTCAAAAATTTAATTGAGTTTTCAGAAAAATTTTCAGTTTTTTCTCCTTTCCTTCATTTTCTTATTTTCTCCGATAGTACATTTAAGTTTATGATTGAGAAAGCGTAGGTAAGAGATATATGAGCTCATTCTAACTAGTTAGCATTATTACTTGTCTGTAATTATTCTTTCTTTTTATATCTACCTTTTGATTTAGGAGATTGGCTGATGAGAAACGAGCCGTCTTGCCGTTTACTTTTTCCCCCCTCATTGTACAAAGTTCTAATCGATACAACACTTCACAGTGCTACATTTCGAATGCAGTAACACTTTACTTTACTGAGGGGTGTGGTGGTACTTGAGTTGGAGATTCTTATTGCTGACCTCCTCGCTCTTTCTCCCTCCCTCACACTCCTCTTTCTTTGCCTACTTGATCCAGGAGGGGGTGTGTGGGACACGGGACAAATCAAACGGGCTGTTTCATCACCCGCTACCCGATCGATGCTGAAATTTCTTTTGTCAATCCTCGCAATCGTCTTTTGTCAAGGGTGGCGGGAACGTTTTTTCCCACCAAGACTTCGCACGAACGGTGCTTTTCGTTCGAAGGCTTCATCTAGTGGAAATGCCGACAATTTTTTTTCAACCTTAGAGATTCTCATATTTCTTTTTCTTTTCCAGGAATATTTTCTTTCTCTGACAGACTTGCTTGAGTAAACGGTATCGCATTTCTTAACTTTGATACTCATTACTATTTATAATCACAGTATTATTTAAAACGCAAACAAAACGAATTGTGGGGCTGACTGGTTGTTATGTACGGAACTTTGATGAATGTAAATAAGGAAAGCCGAATATTTTCAAATCATGAAACTGGATTTGATTCAGCATTGGTCATGAGACTAGAAACTTCCTAAGATCGAATTACCGTCAATAGCTCGCATCTGTCAGAACGATTAAGATGGTCTGATCATACTGTTTGTTGGTGGGACTGGCGTGGGACAAAGTGGTTGCTCAAATTCTTCAAATTTCATTGGTTCATAAGCTTGACATTAGATTTTTGAAATTCCGTCACTGAGTTGAAAGTTGTTTAAGTCCTTCTCTTCTTTGAGGTTGTGTGGGGTGATGTCAGGATGCTTCGTGTTGGGTTTATTTGGCATATTTTCAACTTAGACCCTGTCCTACTCAATTCTGGGCATGACAAGTTGAAAATGTCTTGGTCAGTGAGGCCTCTGTTAACCCTCCCTCCGAGATACGACCCCTCCTCGTTTCCCTAGTGCTGTTGTCTCTTTTTTCAAATTAAACAAGTATGACCCTACTTCCCCGCTCCCCTTCCCTTCTCTTCCTCGACGTGCCCTAAGTGAGTGGGTGTAGCTGATATATGGTTCGGTGGAGCCCATATTCGATGACAGTTCTCAGATGATTGCCCGGGTATGATCGTTTAACGACCAGGTGTCGCGCCCCGATAAGAAGCAGCGGGTTTGCTCATAGAGGGGTGGCCCGCGATAGGAGCAGGTGGAAAGGATTGGTGACAGCTCATTGTCGATCTGACATGTATTGTGTTGATGTTTGTACTGTGAGGGGTGGGTTCGAGCGGGTGTGGACAAAGAAGGAGGAGGATAGCGAGTGGGATCGTTTTAGCGGACGAGCAGACGACGGACACACAACCACCGCCGTACGCTCACACCTCCTCGCTACTCTCCGTCTTCCAGGGTTTCCTGCACGTTTCTTTGGAGTTTCAGCCTCCCATACTTTTCGAAACATCTGCCATCTATAGGTTTCTGAGCACAAAGTAGACCTTGAATATCGTGCGGGTCGTACAAGGGCACTGGCACTATTTGTGACCGGGGTGATTTCGAGTCGTCGTCGTCGACCTTTGTGTCGAGTGATACATAAAGGTGCGCCATCGTATTCGTGTGGCGTTGTGATTGCCCGTTTCATATCCGCCATATGGCAGTCTCAATCTTATATTCATGTTTAATATCCTGGTTAATATGGTCGTCATGAGTCGTTGCGGTAAAGGTTTCATATTTCACCCATGTTATACGTCCCATACCCCTGCAGCAGCATACCCGTGTTTCGAAAGGATCATTTACATAATGGGTTCGTATGTCAGTATGATAATCCGGACAACGTTAATGGGAATATGCTAGTGATACTCAGCGGTGTATAGTAGTAAGAGTACGTTGTGTTCAGAGCTTATACCAGGTGATAAACTCGTGTTTTCTCGCTAGATTCTATTCCTGGTTGAAGTTTTTTTTAGCAATTTCGTCCGCCAAAAACGTTTTAAATAAATAATAAAAATGAATAAATAATAGAATAATAATAAATNTTCTCGTTTGAAGTTTTTTTTTTTTTTGTAATTTCGTCTGCCAAAAAGGTTTTGTGGATATAAATGGAACTGGTCGAGACATTTTCGGCTGTACAGGGCTTATCAAAGGAGCCAACTTTCGGGTTGGTGGCGGGGTTCCTATTTTGTAATAGCAAAGAACATGGGACCTTCCCTTTTTCTGAAGTTGTTTCCTACCAGAAGTAAATGTCCATTTTCAATAGTCAAGTTCCTCCCTGAAAAACGGGATAAGATCCTATTTTTCTAGCGTTCTGTCGTTTGCTGGTTGCTGTTGGCATTGGTCGGGAATACCTCATATTTATTTATGGGAATTAGTGAAGATTACGTTTGCCAGGCGTGTTTTCGTGTTTCTGTTTATTTGTTTGCAAAAGGGATCGACGACTTTTCACTTCCCGTTTATGCAATTTAGAACGGGATTTATCTGAACGTTCTCATTTCCGAATTTCTCCCAGGAAAGAAGGGTGTGGGAAGTGATCTATAATAGGATGTGCTCTAGGACTACTTTACCATAATGATGTTCAGGAAGAGGTAATCTGAGGGCGTGGGCGTGTGAGTAATTCATTGACGAGTTTCCTGGCTCTGTCCGTTCTTCGTTCATTCCCCAGTCTTCGATCAGTTCCAACAGGGCACTGTCTTTCTTCATTTTGACTTGTTCCCACTTCTTACTTTTTTGAATCCTTTTATTTATGATGCAGATGCTGCGGTTATTGTTTACTGTTTCACCAAGGAGAGGTAGTGTTCATGGCTGTTTTTCATTTTGAGGGCTTCCTAAATCTTGTATAATTTATTTACGTGTTTTTTATTTCACTTCTTTTTATTCAGTTTATGCAAGTAATTTGATGTGGTTGTTGTTTTGATGGAGAAGAAATACTTTACATTTTTCCATTACTGCCATAAAAATACTATATCTGCCTCTAATGGTTGTCAGTAGTCATGTAGAGTGGGAGCAGTGACGCGTGTCAAGAGACCAGTTCCCCACGAGATTCCGTCCCTAATTGGCCCCCATGTTCTTGCATTCTTCTCTCCAACACTGATTTTTCCATTTCAATACGGATTCACTTAACAATCTTTCCAATTGATTTCGTCCATCAGAAACCCTCAATCTAGTTCTTAGGTTTATACTTTCTAATTCAAAATACTTTTACGAGTTCGATTCTTTGTAAAAGTCAGCGATCTTCGTTTACCGGACATTTTGCCCCTCTCTGGCTGGCCCTGGATATATCGTATTTTCAAATTTTCAATTATGTTTTTATAGCCTTTTATTACTAAGTTCATTAGAGTGAATGAAGCCGCAGTTATCGCAGCAGTCCCTCAAAATCGTCCTTTTTACTGTAGTAGAGTTTTTGTAACACTCGATTAAGTGGAACCTCGGGTGTATTACGGTATGGAACACACCCATTCTTGAAAATTCCATTTTTTTTTCATGCTGCTTGACCTTGAGGGCGAATTTTGGCGTTCTACTTGACCATCACCGTACCGAGGTCATCATTGCTTTACTTATGTGATGTTTGGTGAGATAAAATGAAGTCATCAACTACTGGTAGAAAGACTTGTTCTTACCAGTAATTTCTAGTGACTAGTTCTTGCAAATGGAAGTTGTTGTATGTTTTTAGTTGTCGTTTTCTGGTCAAGGTCACGAAATGGCTGTCAAAGTACAGCCTGATCGTTATAATTGGTGTCCGTCCGACTGTAGAGGAGTGTCGTAATCTTCCGTATTAGGTTGAGAGATTCGGAGCAATGTAACTTTGCAAAAACTGCCAATGACAGCCAGTAGTTATTCTACGAGAGTTCCTTTTTCCGTGGCTGTAATTGTCAACCAGACCTTTCGTCTCAGTTTTCTCAAGTCTCGCGACTTCAGTAGTTGTTAAGAAAATAGTTGCAGGTACTACAAGGCTTTGTTATGCTATTCAAGTAGGCCAAATATTGTTATTGATCATTTCTCTGCTGCTAGAAAAATGATAATGGGTGATAAAGAATGTTAATAGTGGAATGCTAGAAGTATAGGTTCGGATTTTATGGACAACGATTGGGTAAAATTGTGCCGTAATCACAGAATGTAGGAGTAGTAATTGAGGCCAGTGACCCTTGTCCAAGGTACCACCATTCTTTATCACCCATTATCATTTTCAAGCAGAAACTCATCGTACCCTCCTTTGATGTGATAGCGTTTATTAACTTTTTCGTGGATCTGGTAGCTTCATCGAGTTGAATAATAGGTTCATGTGCTTCTTCTAAAGCATACCACATAACCTCTTTGGAATTCTGCAAATCCAAAGTCGTTTACTTTTTTGTAAAAGTAAACCTGATAGAGAAATTGTGTGAGACCTCTCTAAAACCCGTGTTCCTAAGAAGGCCTGCTCCTCAGAAATATTGAGTCTTTCTCCTTGAGTGATTTGTCGGTAGGGTACTGCTTTGCTACTTTCTCATCCATAATTCCTCAAGTTCGTAACTACGTTCATTCGTAGGCAGAAGCCAGCATGCCTATATTTATCGGGGCTTTCAGTATAATATTGTCAAAACGGTGTTGTAGTGGGACGGAGAAACTGTAGCCCATGGTTTCACTTACTACTTCAGGCAGCCTGTAAAGTGGAACTGTAATCAGTTCAACTGACTTTAACTGGTAATTGTCTACGGTCATGTTTGTTATTCTAAGTCGAATATGTTCTAGAAGATAAGACTGATCTGGATATCAACAGGGTACGGCATCTAACTGTACTGGCGGAATATCCTCCAACGGTTTAGAATAGAAGTCCATTGCGCGGCGCATCAAATCAAAGTCGATTGAAAATATCGATTTTCACATCAACCTCACACTCGTCATTGGTTTTCAGAGCAAATCGGGTTAAGCAACGAGTCGATAGCTATTAGTTGTAAATGGATTTTTCCTGTTAACGTGGAACGTGGTGTTTTACTGAGCCGATACCAGTTTGATGCTGTTACTGATCTATGACATTGCTGCTGCTGCATTACCGGACTGGTGTAGCCCCAGCAGGAGGAGCGGCAGCAGCAGCAGGAGCAGGAGTAGTTGGTCTCGTTGGCGAACACTCGACGACGCCGCGCGACGCGCGTAATGTTGTGGCTATTCTCGTTCTCTCGCCCTGTCCTCCGAGTGTCTCCGTCGTCGTCGTCGTCGTCTGTGTGTGTTCCGGTTTTCGTCGTTCACTGTATTATCGACATTATGACACGCTTTTCTGTTTTATCACAACACATTAATAGCCCAAAATCGATGCAGAAATAGTCATTTTTGAGCCAAGTGAACTGGGAGCCCCACCCCAACCCCGCCGACGTGCCCAAAGACTCCTTCCTGCCGTTTCTCCGTTCCACCTGCTCCCACTTGCAATCCGACCCGAATGACGTGTCCTGTGTATCGTTCGAGTAACAGAAATGGAATACACAGCAGTTTTGTTACCGTAATTAACTTTACTATTGTACATTGATGTGTTGTCCCGTGTTTTCGAAGGCTGAAGAAGAATTACCTACCAGTTTTCGTCAAAAGGGGGAGGGACGTGTTGTAGTTATAATGAAAGGGGAATCGACTGCTAATACCTTTAGATTATTCATACGTTCCCCCTCTATTATACGGTGGTCTCATGGAAGTCAATTTTCCGTTTGGCTGTCCCTCGCTCAATACCTATGTGGGTCGCTGCGAACTTTTTCTTGCGTTTCTCAGTGTCGATCGAATCTCCTGGGTTTCGTATTAGTTTGTCTCGCATTCTTGGTGAATGACTTTCTTTAAAACGGAAATATTATCGTGTAATAATGAATTTTGAAGTTTATTATGCTTTTATATCAATTATATTGATTGTAAAGATTCCCAACAAGAATTCCGATCCTCGAAATTCCCAAACTACTGGCAGTCTTTTATGGCTCATTCATCAGAACCTGTTCTTGATGGTAATTGAATTTTCCTTCGATAAACTTATTTTTTACGAAGCATTAATAAATCTCAAGCATTTCTATATATTTTCATAAGAGCGAGTGCATAATAAATAATAAATATGATAAATTGATAAATAAATAAGTGAATAAATAAATATTTCAAGTTGACAAGTAAACGCTGCTAAGTAAGTATGTACTCTGGTCCTTTTCCCTTCTCATGCCACCGTCACAACTGTTTTTCATTGAAATTCTTCTCCAACGCTCTGTTCCATTGTTTCTCGTTAGCGTTCATCAACAGCAATCTGTTCTGCAAATTCAGCAAGTGCAGTCAGTCCTTCCCCCCATCTCCACCTGTCAATTTTCCGATCTATTTTTTCTTTCTCAACGACGATTCTTCCGTTTATCAGATAATATTGCTAGCCACCATGTCTAATTCCGTACGGTCCGCTGCTATTTCTTCCTATTGCTTATCGTGACGCGGCGACTTTGCCTGTGCTGCCTGGCTGACTGCTGTTGTGTGCTTGTCGTCGTCTCGTCTCGTCTTCATTCTATAGTATCATCTGATTCTGAATATTCTTGAAACCGTCCGTAATTTACGTCTATCTACATCTAGAAAACCGTGTTGGGCGCAAGTTGTGTGTGCCTTACAGTATCTGATGACAGCCGATGTAGTCAGTCATCCACCAGTTAGTGCATCCGATTCTGGACGTTTTACATCGATCCGTACCGTACTCGGTGAATGGAAACAACTATTTGATGGATGTAATTTCATCAAAAGGAAAGAACGCAGGTTGGTAGTAGTACTGTGAAGAATCGATAGGTCCGATAATCTGTAATTGTTATTGATTTTTGAAAAATCAGGGTCGTTTCCTGTAGGCAAATTACTCAACTAGGCATCCAGTGCTGATTAAAACAAATTAAAAGTATTTCGTGAAACTACACTGCCAAAACTTGTATCCTTCTGACAAAATATCGATTTATTCGATTTTACCGTTCCACAGTTGTCATACTGTAACTTCTTTTTTTGCAGTTATGAGCATATTTTTTGCATAAAATTTATTGCAATGTCTTATAATGTGTTGTTTTCGAAGTAGTAAATTGTAAAACGAAGTGAGTGAAGAATTCAGTGAAGGGGCTTGTAGAAGTTGACATGATGGCTGCTGTAACATGTGATCAACTGGTACGATCACAGTAATAGAGAGTTGTTGTCGCCTTGATAATGTGTCTAATGAAATCGACGTGAAAACTGGAATGAGGGGAGAAAAGCTGTTTTCCTCTTTGTTACGCATTTGTTTTGTGTACAGCATTTGCAACAATAGGCTAATAGGGCAGGCAGGGGATACACGGAGCCATTAACGAGAGTGTTGTGGTTCTCTGTTTCATTAATTTTCTTATTTTTCTCCAAAATATTTTTGCAAAATTTCAGTCGGTCACGGCGACGGGATGTCAAGGATGCGAAAACAAAACGAGTTGCAAGTGCATCAGTAGCACAACGGTCATCGACGAGGAAATCCCAGTCAACAGAGTTGTGCGTATGTGATTCTATAGAAGATCATGTAAGTAAATGGTATTTTTATTCATTTTATTTGAACGGCATCTTCACTAGGTAGTAATGATGGCCGCTTCACCTGAAATCAGGATTGCTCCTTTTTTTACGTTTTTTCACACCGTCTCCCCACCATGTCCCAGGTACTGACCCTTTATGGCAGTGGGGGAGAAAGGTGTTTTTCTAGGCAGCACATTGTTTTCGGTTCATTCCATGTTGGAAAGTCAGCACTCAACGGGGTTTTGTTGTTGTTGTTGTTGCCAGGAAGTCATGGCTTTGCTCACTTATTATGCATTAATTTTATTGGGTTCATTAACTTATTCAGATGCATTCCACATGACCACTGAAACGGATGGAAATTTTGATTATAACCGCAAAAGGTCTTTTCTGCCGTTTCTCCCCTTTATGTAGCAAGCTGCGCTCTCTGGAGAGCCTCTGATTGGTGGTCCAAGTAATCCACCAATCACAGAAAAGGTGACCTTGCTTGGGTTTTTCATCCAACAAGCGCTTTGACCGGCGCTACCTTCTTGCCGCAATAAAGTTGCTGACGGGAACTTAAGTTGACACACTTTGATATTCAAATACTTCCATGCTGTAGTGCAAAAGTCGGTTCCCAATGAGCTTCCATAGCAAATGTCAACGGAGGGTGGTGAAAAAATGAAATTCAATGAGTATTTTCAGGTAATCGAGAAATTCACCGCACTCCCACCCGGCATTGATCCTCGCGAATGGCTGGCTACACATAGTAAGTGAATTCTTCTTTTCCGATTAGAAGTTGCGAAATGAAAAAGTTATCGATTGGGTAGAACTGTAGGTTGTCACTGAGAAAACAGGTTTCATTTTAATCTTAGAAAAAAGTTCGTTGAAATACATTCCATCTATTCGCTCTCATAGTTGTAGCTAAATAAGGGAAAAAGGTCTCTCAAAAATTTTTCCAATTGAGAGTAATCGTAATGCGAGGTTGTGGCAAGCGAAAAGTCATTGGTTATGCTAAATTTTGAGACCTTGATATAGTTTTTCAATTTTACTCGAGTAAATTCATGTAAAGGAAAAAAGTAGCATGTGCTCATACGCTACTCGCTACAAGTTTTATGTTCACATAAGTAGACGGATAGGTGCCGTTTGTTGTATGATATGTGATAGGGCAATTGTCCTGACGTTGTCTCATATATCACAGCTAAAAGCATGGGGGTTTCCCCCTCATTTTCTATGACATGGGAAATGGAAATTATCGATTTTTGGAAAGTGCTATCGCATTGCATGGTGTTTTCGACAATGTGTGGGCCCGGCATCTGTTTTGTTTGGTTGAAGAGATGTTTGAGCGTTGTTGTTTGATGTTCTGCGACCGACGCCGTTGCGATGTCCAAGTGTTTTACGTTGTCAAGGTGTCCATTGTTGCCGAAATTCATAGGGAATAATATCTTCTTCCATGCAATTCGAAGGGGTTCTAAAGCTGCGCAATGACCTACTTCAATTGATTTTCTCACAGGGGGTCAGGAAATTCCACGGACCCTATGTGTGTTTAAAATATTAGCTTACGCTAAGGCTAGCAGATTTTCGTTCCTGTTCCTTCCTGGTCGTCTTAGTGGTGTCAAAGTGGATTGGTTCTGAGAAAATATTGCATCCAGTCAAGCATTCATATAAATAGTTTTGAAATATTAGTTTAAAACAACAAAAATTCGCCAGCTTCTCATTACAAGTGCGGAATTTTTGGTTTTTTTTTTATTTGGAAACTGATTGATTCCTTTCTGGACTTGAGCACGCTTTGCGAATAAGGACCTACTTCGTGCCTTAAGACCCACCTCACACCTTGAGTAGTAATGGGACTGGTTTTTTTAAGTTGCTGAGGGGGCTACTGAAAAGTTGGTTGTCTTC